TGTTCAATTTTTGATACTTTATTGAAGTTTCAAGTCATGGGAATCTATATATATAAAAGCGAAATAACCCTTACGCGTCATCATGAAATCTCCAGAACCGTAAAGCCTGCCAACTTGAAATTTGGCCCATATGTTCCTCTTGGCTTCTAGGTGCTCACTAAGAAAGGGTTTTTCAAAATGACCATCAGAGCATTAGTATTTCCTATATTATGATTAACATGCTCTGATGCTAAGAAGTTCTACTCCCTTCCCCATCTGAAAAGAAATCTGTTCCAAATGCAGAATACAAGCAGAGGAGAGGAGTTTTAATTTCAGTTTTACTTTCACAGCAGCAAGCAGCTTTAGTACAGAACAGTTGAGCTAAGCCACGCCCAGACTCCTTGCTGTCTCCTCTTTGTTTATACAGAAAATACTGTTTCAGTTTCCAAACAGCCCTCAACTCTCACACACTGACAGGACTCTAGCCAGATGAATACTGATGAATGCTGGTAGGCAGAGGCAGAATTATTTTTCCTTATTTTCCTCCCCAAAAACTAGGCCCGACCACATAGTTTCGTAGCGAAGCACGGGTGTCGAGCTAGTCTAGTTATAAAAATGGCATTTTGAAACATCTTCTTTATAGATGTTTGTTGTAACATGTTTGCTGTAATTGAGAATTTTCTCTTGAAATCTTTAATATTTTAACATAAGACAAAGTGACATAATGCAATAATAAGTTGCAGGTTACAAACATACTAGTTCTTGGCTAGGTGAGCAATCATCTATTCTTCGTTTATAATTAGAATTATAATAGATGATATGAAAATTCAGGAGAATCTTTGACATTAGCATAGCAACTGAAATGTTAGTTGGAAATGCTTGGAAGTATAATTTTTTCATGAGCACATCTGTAAACCATTGTTTCTTCTTTTTTAAATGCCTATTTGATTTTCCTCCCTCCTTTTTTGTAAAGATATTTGGGCTATAGGGTGTATATTTGCAGAGCTGCTAACATCAGAACCAATATTCCACTGCCGACAAGAGGATATAAAAACTAGTAATCCGTATCATCATGA